CCGGGCCCAGCCGCTCGACCGGCAGCCAGGCCGCGGCCCTGTGCCCCTTCCCGCCTCACCTGCGAGCCGCGGCCGCTCCGTAGCTCGCGCCCGTCCGCGCGCCCCGTCGGGGCACGCACCAAAGCCCGGCCGCGGTGACTCAGAACGCGACGGCCACCGCAGCCTTCTCCTCCTCGGCACAAGCCCGCGCGGCGAGCAGAGGGTCGCAGTCACAGCCCCCGCCGGGGCCAAAGTGAGCCTCGCCGCCTCCGCCACCAATTCCCTTCAGTCGTCCGCGCCGCCCCAAGAAAATGTCACCAGAGGCCGTTCCGCTCGGCGCCTCACTTCCGCCCGGAACCACAGAGCCTGCGCCGGCGGGGTAGAGAGGCCACTGCGGCGAACGCCTCTGGTGACTGGGGCCAAAGGCTGGGAGAAAGCCAGACAGCGCCGTCTGGCGGCAGGGAATCCACGCTCCAGCCGCAGAGTGCCGACTCCGCGGGGCCCGCTTCCCAAGCTCCTGTCCTGCGCGGCTTCCTTGGGTGCAGACAGCCTCCTTCTAGAAATGACCTTCGCGGAGGGTGGAATAGCCAGTCTATGCAAGCCAAGGACAGTGCCTTAAGAAAAGCTGTCCTTCCTGTGACCTGCCCAGTACTCACCCCCTCCCGAATGAAATCCGCGAGGTCCAATCCTGAGTCACTGCATCTGAAAGTTCTCTCTTCTCCCCTCACCTTTCTGCAGGCGCCAACAGCTCGGCTCGGAAGACTGCGCTATGCTCTCCAGCGGTAGCACCAACATCCTGTGCAAGTTTTGACTCGGGAACCTCGCAGGCCTTGCGGAGAGCGCGCCGCCTGCTGGTGGGACGCTGTTTGCCTGGTAGACTCGGCTCCGCTGCGGCGTGCGTTCCAACGCCCTAAATTCCGACTCTGCAGAGTCACGACTTGGGTCTGCAGCGCGCCCCTCTGAGTTGACTGGGCGGGTCCTTGGGATGGGAAAGGGGGTGCATCGAGCACGGGACGCAGGACCCTTGGGAAAGGGAGGCGGACGCAGGCCGCCTAGACTGAGCAGAGGGCTTCGAAGGAGAAAGGGAACATGCCAGATGCCGAGAACAGTTCAATAGCTCAAAATCTGGCTCAGCGGAAAGCAAAGCGGGATGCTCAGCGCGGGTAATGAAAGAACATAAAAGACCTGAGTAGAAAATGTCAAAGGTCTTTACCCTTTAAGGAGCTATGCTGGAACTTTAAGCGAGAATTCCCTAGAGGAGATTCTGAATGCCCCCAAAGTCCCCTTAACAGTCTCTCTTTTAGATTAGGCCCTGCAGCTCCCCCAGTTCACTCTGAGTTTGTTAATTAGGCTTTTATTGATACATAATAAGTGTACTATTTAAGGGGTACAGTGTGACATTTCAAAACGTGCAATGTATAATGATCAAATCAGGGTAATTAGCATATGTATCGCCAGGGACAATTATCATCATTTCTTTGTGGAGGAACTTCTCTGATAGTTTTTTGGTTCGCTTTGGTTTGTGTTTTTTTCTGGTACGGGAGTTGGGTTCTGAGGTTCTCTACTACTGAGCTACCTCTCTGTCCCATTTCTTTATTTTTTTTATTTTGAGGCATCTCCTTTGATATGTTAATTGCCCAGACTGCCCTCAAACTTGCCATCCCCCTGCCTCAGCCTCCCAAGTATCTGGGATTCCAGATGTACACCACCGCACTTGAATTCTAATATGCCTTTAAGGTAGTTCAGCGACAGAGCCCTTGCCTAGCAGCGAAATCCCTTGGTTCCATTTCAGTATCTCAGCAATGAAAAAGAAATGTTTTCCGAGCCAGGTGTTGTGGCACCTGTAACCCCAGCAGTTGGGAAGCTGAGGCAAGAGAATCACTGTGCCCCAACTTGGACTACATAGTGAGTTCAAAGCCAGCCTGAACTACATAGGGAGACCTCATCTCAGAGAGAGAGAGAGAGAGAGAGAGAGAGAGAGAGAGAGAGATTAACCTTGATAAAGCATCGTCAGGGCATCTAACTCGGTGGAAGGATTTAGAAAGCAAAACACAAAAAGCACATTTAAAGCACAAACTGCGTAAGT